GGAGGGCACCAGGGGGCTGGGAAGAGGCGGGGGCCGGTCGCAGGGCCGGGGGCAAGGGGGGGGGGGGCCGGGAGCCCCGGGGGCCGGGGGGGGGGGGGCCGTGGAGCCAGGGCGGGGGGTCCCAGGGCGACGTGGGACAGGAGGCGCCTGAAGCCCCTAGGCCCGGGGGTCATGGAGCCGAGGCGAGGGGTCATAGGCAGGGAGGGGTCGCGGGGCTGGGGGGCGCCCCCAGAGCGGCGGTGGGGCCAGGGTGCCCGAATACCCTAGGCCCGCGGTGGTCATGTAGCCGGGGGGGGGCTAGGCGGGGAGGGGTCCCAGGGTAACGGGAGGGATCCCTGAAGCCCCTAGGCCTGGGGCTCGCAGGGCCTGGGGCAATGGGGGGCAGGTGCCTGAAGCCCCTAGTCCCGGGGAGGACCCAAGGCGGGGGCTGGAATTAGGGCCGGATGACCGGTCCCCCTCCCCCCCCCACTAAGCTGGGGGGTGCGTGCGTGGCCCTTCCCCGGCCCTGAGCCGGAGCGTGGCTACAAAACTAGTGCAGGCCGCAAAGCCTCGGGCTCTATTTGAAACAAGGCCGCCCTCGGGTGCGGGGCGAGCGGAGCGATTTCGTCCCGCCCACCGGCGTGCAGGCGATGACTGGCGGGGGGCGGCTTTGGGTTGAGGCTAGCGGCGCGATTGGTGGGGGCACCTGTCAGTTAGGGGGCAGGGAGGTTGCCAGGTGCATTGTTTTGCAGACGGCCCGGGGTGAGGCTGTGGCCGAGGGGGGGGCTGGGCAGGGACCTGAAGGGCAGAGTAATGACCCCCCATTGGTGCCCACAGTCTGGATTGACCACACACTCTCCCAGAGCCAGGCATAGGACCCTAGAGTCCTGGTACCCAGCCCCCTGCCTTAACCACTAGCTTACACTCACCCTACATTAGTAATGAAAGGCCTGGCTCCCACTCCCTGCTGCATTAATTACAAGGCCATGCTTTACTCCCACATCCATGACTAGAACTCTCTAGTTCTGACTCCCCGTTGCTTTGTCTTTACCACTGGGCCACACTTCTCTCCCCAAAAGTTTGAGGGACAATAAACGAAGTGGGTATTCACCCATGAAAGCTTATGCTCCAATACGTCTGTTAGTCTATAAGGTGCCACAGG